ATGTGTTAACATCATGACGTCATGATATATGAATGATGACGTAAGAGATGTATACACAAATTAATTTTTTCCTCTTCTCTCTTTTTCCATAGACGATATTCAATGCATGTTACCATGGCGATAAAGATGGTTAGTGTCACGTGATTAACATTATGATCAACGCACGAGGAGGTCTGGTGGGACGAGTTGGTAAAACAAGTGGACGCGCTTTCGATCTTCGCCAGAATCTCCCGCCTCCACCTCGTCCTACCGTTGAACGTTTTCCAGATTTGAAACCGGGATTCAACAAGCCTGCTTGCTGCGCGGTTCTGATTGGTCTAATCATATTTATGGGCGGCCTCGCTATGACAATCCTCGGATACTATGCACAGGAACTATCAGATGTTAGCGCCACCATCGACAGTCAGGTTGAAATCGTCCGGGACACAACGAAATACTCTCATTTGTATAGCTTTCGTATCGTCGGACCAATAATCATGGGTTGTGGTATTTTCACAGTTTTGTGCGCATGCGTTGTGTTGCAAGAAGCAAGAGAAAAAAAGCAAATCCTTTTTTTTCCCCAGGATAAACACGATGTACCTGCAGTAACGAAGTCGTCGATACACCGTTCACCACATATTGATCCGGTAGCTGGAACTTCCGGCATATCCACCGTACATACGGGGATTTTGAAACCCAGTCTGCATGGCGCAAAATGTGACAATTTGGCGGTAAGCATTCCAAGTCTAGTCGTAGGAGAAGACTGTAACAAAAAGAAGGATAATGCGGTCGAAAAGAATAAGTTGACTCTTTCAGAACGACTGGCTATTAGCAGAGAACGATTTCAAGTGCCAAGTTCGCCGGTGATTCTCATCCATCGGTCGGATTTGGCACAGTTAACTCCTGTAGATCAGGACACGAAATCATCCCACAAGTTGGAGCCTGTGGAGGAAGATACTGCTTCACATAGGGCAGCTATTGGGTCAATTCCCGATCCAACAATTACACGGGCGTCTAGTATTGATAGTAGTCATGGTGATTTTACTGACAGCATGGACGAGTCGCCCACACATACTATTGACGGTGAACAGAGATCTGTCCCTGGCGGCATGGATTTTAACGACCCGTCGTGGTGGGGAGAGGGCAAAGAAAAATCCAATTTACTACAAGCAACGTTGACAACGACGCGACGATTGTCCATAACTAGTATGCTAAGTGCCAGTACTACGGACTCTACTGATGAGGAAATATTATTGAAAGCAACCGTCACAATGGAAGACGTGACAACCCAGAAAGTTGTTGTACCCAACAAACACTATAGCAAGGGATTCTCACATAAACCAATCAAAACTGGTCGTAATGACGTCACTGCTTATAAAGATGACAACATTCCTGGCAACAGTGACTGTCCGGTTATATTCGTAAATTCGCACGACGAGTATAGTCCGAAACACTTCCACGAATCCAGTAAAGACGCAGTTTGGTATGAGGATGACGTTAAACGGCGTAATTGTGCAGATCGTGCGCACCGCCGCCGCGCTTCCGGCTCCAAACATAACGATCGCGTGTCTCAGAAGCGTGACTACGAATCTCGCCGTAATCGGCGTTTTCTGGTTAGACAAGACGAACATCTAGATCTTTCATCGTCTGAATCAGACATGGAAGAGCCAATGGGCGTCAACAGAGCTTATAAATGTCATTTACAGGGGGAGTTGAACCGTGAATTGAACGGCAACATAGAATATGACGAGGTAGAGATGACAACGTTTGAGAAAAGATTTTGTGAAGACGACGTAAAACCAAAGTCAATGTCAAAACATCGCCCATCGATAGAGTTTTCTCAACAAAGTGTGAGAGAAATAACACTATAATAATCGACATAAATTGATTACTTTCTTATTCTTTTTAAAATTGAGATGTATTTTTAAATAGACAATATTTTCTCCAAAAATCCGTCGTTCGTGATAGTTCTGAGTCGTTACCGTGTCACATTCCGAGTTACTAGCTGTATTTATTGCGTACTATTTGTTATGGCGTACTGATATATATTAAAACGCCAACTATTTAATGTTAGTGCGCACTGATATTCAATTTGTTGCAGGGTCAACTATTTGCTCAGGCTGATATTGTGAAATAATGCATTTATGAGTAAGGCCGTCGAAACCTCCGTAATTTTTTTTAGCCCTTTCAATTTGATGTGGATAGCTTGCAAATACCGTATCTGTTGCATTTAATGCAGTTCATATATTACTTGAAAGTCACCAGGCTTCCAGTCAAAAAAGACTTTACCGACAATATATTTTCAATAATTTTTAGATTGGAAATTGAAAAAAAAAATGTTTCCGACAGTCATGATCATGGAACTTGTTTGATACAAAATATTACAATGGATGCCAGTGCCACTGTCCACTCTGTCCTCGGATACCCGTGATATACTGGTATGCGTTTTGTGATCAAATAGCCTGTCGAATACTGCCCTCAACGTGTTATAACTGACATGTTACCCATGAAACCCTACTTTAGCATAATTCTTCTAGTTGCCCCTTTTTGTACCCAATCACTGTTCCCAATATGCCACTGCCTTCTTCCGGGTTTGCCTGCCTTATATTTGTGTTTGATCTTCGCTCGTTGCTAGGTAGGTTGCGCAAGCGCAAAGTACGCCTCTTACGGTAACGTGAGAATTGGAAATTACAAAGGCTCAGCACAATACTGCTATAAAGCCTTTCCGTTTTCGACATTATGAAATTCTTTCATTTTCTGGTTGAAAAAACAGTTTTGACAAGATAATTCAGAAATTTATATCAAGAATTACAAACTATGTAGTGTGTTCAACAACTCGTGTATAAACAATAACTTTAAAATATATTATTTTACTTGGTCAAAATGCTATAATTTTCTGCATAAAAAGAAAAGAACTTCACAATGTCTTTATCGCAGTATTGGCACGTGAAATATGATCTGGTCTGGTCACGTAATTTATTCAATGAAAAACAACTGCAGTCACGTGACCATGTCTTTATTTATGGAGCTAATAACAGGAACAAGAGAATAAACAAACTAACTAACTAATTTTAACCGCAATTCATTAAGTATTCCAATATCCCAGGGTGCACTGGCCTTTACAAAATGTGAGCATTTGTATACCCATGTATTGAACAAAATCTGGGAAGATTTCCTTTTGTATCTGATCCCCCATCCCTAACCCTACCACTACCCCAGCTCTCCACAATTTAAACGCAAATGCCCCTTCTATTGTTATCAAGCAGGGCACATACAATTAAATTCGAAGGCTTGGGTTAGAGTAGAGTTAGGATTAGGGGTGGGGATACAAAAGAAACTTTTTTCTTATTTAATAACAATAAAGTTGTCAGTCGAACAACAATTTTTCACTTTTTTCTGGCATTCGGCACACAAAGTGAATATTTAGCTGTTACCGCCCCTGCATTGTACTACACTGCACTGTACTACAGCACGCAAAGTTCACAGTACGTGGTACGGTTATTTTTAATAAAATGTATAACGACAAGAATAGAATAAACTGTTTTTGGCAACCAAACTTTTTATTAATGTGTAACTTCGTAAATGAAAACAATTATGTCAGAGACTACATTATGCGAGGTAACGTTGGTTACTGAAGTGAAATGGCGCACGTTACAACTGGGACAAAGTAATGTTCAGAATTCAAATGTTGCATTACTGAGTATGTAGAGAATTATGGGAGAAAACAATCACTAACATGGAAAAATATTATGGCCCGAAAATAATGATAGTATTCCGATTTATCAAACGTATCACAACTACATTGACCACCTGGCTTGCACATGGTGTAGATTCGTAAGCACGTGCACGTACTAAATTATTTCGGAGTTTGGCCAACGTCCAGAATGATTCGGGAGTAATTGATATATGACCGATCTGTGACCGACTTCCATGGCCGTCAGGATGCAAGACGACCATGACGTACGCCATCTACGTTACATCCGTAATCTGTAGGATTGAGATTCTGGTGAAGCAATACATACGGCGATTGAGACCGCGGCGGGGAAGGGGGGAGGGGTCCCCCCATAGTTGAAGTTTGGTACGGAAATGCGCCACTGTATTGAACCCCCTTCCCCATGTTCACGGTCGAGTCGATTCATCTGACCCAGAGCGTTAAGATTTATAGATTTTTAGCAAATGTAGGTCGTTTTTGAGCAAAAAGCGACTCTAACGTCTATCATTTTGGGTCCAATTTTCAACTGGCTGCGACAGATATTTCTTCACCCTCAGTTGTATTTATTCGACCTCCATACGCGATGTAATCAGGGTTAAAAAAAAAGTACATCATTGTATGTACATGGGTCACTCTGGCAAACGAGACTCTTTAATCGTATAAAGATAACAGGAAAACCACAATGTAGAACCGTTGTCATGGCAACCGACGCCGCCTTTTTAAGACAAGTACTTGTATTACAGTAGTCGACGTGAACTTGTAGGACATTGTGAATGCCACGACAACGTCCGAACTATGTCGGAAAAACCTGACAATTATATGCATTAAACCTTTATTCAAATTTATCCTTTCGTAATCCATACGTCTAACACCAACCAACCCAACCCTGCCCAATGTAATTATTATTATAACATAAGTTGTAATGTAAATCAATAGAATAACACTGTATGATGCCACTTGGCGATATCGTACTTTATTTGAGTTACAGGAGATAACATACTTGTTATACACGTATATCCTGTGAACTCTGTCCAACTTAGACTGTCATATGCGTCAAATAAAATAATGCCTAGGGGGTCTTTACTGATACGCAAATTTGGGTAATAATATTCTCTGTAATTAATATGTCTTCTGATCCACTGAACAGTACTATGTTACGACTCATATCGGTATGTAAATGTCGCTTGAAACCCAAAACACGAGGCGAACACTGTCTATAATTTGTGGTTCTTTTCCACCACTAAGTTAAGGGGGCTGTTTTATCTTAGTTTCCAGGCACATTGCTGATTCATGTTATTAGCGGTCTGGTGTTTTATCCAACAACAGTTCAATCATGAAGGGCAGCCTTTTACAGATTATTTTCCTCGCGGTGTTGGCAATATCAGGTTAGTTGATTTGTAAGCGCGGCTTTATAACATGTTGTAATTTTTTTCAGAGTTAAAATTCGACGAGACAGTAGTTTAATTTTTTCTCGTTACGGAGGACGTCCCGATAATTCAGATAAAACTACTGTATTCGTGAATTGCATATACTTTAGCTCGGTAGGGTTACCAGCAAAGACAACGCGTTTCTAGTATATCATATTTTCATTCCAAAGAATGCCATACCAACCCCAACAACAGATAAACGGTTGACACCTCAATTAAAGGGTTCGACCAATCAATGATTCTCCATGTCGCAATTGTTAAAAAGAAGCCCTATACAATTCTTTATTTACCACAAATCAAGAAGGGGTGGTAGACCACTAGTTTAGTTTGGCATACGTCGGTGTATCTTGAAATTGATGAAACAGTTTAATGTGGCTGATGTATGAATCATGACTAGACCAGACGTCCCAGTTCCTCCAAATCTCCTCCCCTTTACACAATAGTACCTCTGCCACAGGCAGCCTTCAAATTTGTGGTCATTTTTCCGCGGTTGTTTTATTTGGAACCGAACTATAAAAAGTGAAAACTATTGAATAATGTCAGACTTCAATAAAAACGTAAATACAAACCATTTTATCGCGGACTATGTTTTGCAAGGTAATGTTACTGTAGTGAAATGGCGCACGTGATACACTAAAACCGGGGAGAAAAAACGTTCTGTTAACGTATATAGTTGGGAAAGAAACATCAGATTAATTTCACTGAAAGGGGTTTCCTATCATTTCGTTCATCTTGTATTCTGGTGAATATTTGAATACTATTTCTAGCTTGAACGGATTCGATTTTCCGCGTTAAACCAGCCATAGAACGCAAAGGTTGTAGTAAGTTTATACTAGTTAGTCATTTATCGTCATAATATCTTGATAACTTTGAAAGGACTACAGTTTTCTAGCGTAAATCATGAATAATTTAATTTAATTAATCGAACATTTCTTTCACATTTAGGGCGTAAAACATTTTATTAAACTGATTAAAGTAACCAGACGACTTGTTAACCGACAGGAACTTGTAATTTGAACGTATTCGAATATGCATATCAGTTATATGCAAAGCTGATAAGTAACGCGTATCGAAATGTTTGGAGTTCGAGTTCCTCTTCGATATAATGATTCGTTGAATAACAGTATAACACCCAAGTTTTGACCTTTGCCATCTTATGTGTCATCTGTTGAAAAAATGTTTCCATTAAGTGGTAATAAACTAAACGTGCATAACCACTTACATGTGACGAGAACTGCTCTTTTCACGTCACACTGGACTGAATGGTTTTATTACCAAGGCTACTAAACTATGCTGACTCATGCATGTAATTAGCCTTAATTTCGTCCCATACATATGTACTCAGCGTTCGATCAAGACCAAGCAGGCTATGCTAAATCCGCATTTAAACAACGTTTTCTAAAGCTTAAGCTTAAGGTCGTGTGTTTTGCATTTGCGTTATAACTGCCGAGAAAAAGCCTATTGCTCGAAACGTCTGGCTTTTATGAATAATTACTTGGGATGACGATCACCCTGCTATATTCTATGCAATACGCCGTACTGCTAACACAATTGTGCCATTATAGAAGACGGGGAGCTAATTACGTCCCGTTACAATTTTATTACTATTAATATTATGTTTTTGCATTCTGGAATAAGTGGAATGTGCCTCTGTCACTAATCTTACAAATACCACCGAGCTAGGTACGGTCGTCGTTCAGCATAATGACTGATATAAAATTAATAACTTATTCTAGTTGAGCTCAGACACTTACACGTCTCAGTCATACTACTAGCACGTGTGTATCACTGCTTCTAACACGTCTCTATCATACTTCTAGTACGCGTGTAACACTGCTTCTTACACGTCTCTGTCATACTTCTAGTACGCGTGTATCACTGCTTCTTACACGTCTCAGTCATACTTCTCGTACACGTGTATGACTGCTTCTTACACGTCTCTGTCATACTTCTAGTACGCGTGTATCACTGCTTCTTACACGTCCCAGTCATACTTATAGTACGCGTGCATCACTGCTTCTTACACGTCTCTGTCATACTTCTAGTACGCGTGTATCACTGCTTCTTACACGTCCCAGTCATACTTATAGTACGCGTGCATCACTGCTTCTTACACGTCTCTGTCATACTTCTAGTACGCGTGTATCACTGCTTATTACACGTCTCAGTTATACTTATAGTACGCGTGCACCACTGCTTCTTACACGTCTCAGTCGTACTTCTAGTACGCGTGCATCACTGCTTCTTACACGTCTCTGTCATACTTCTAGTACGCGTGTATCACTGCTTCTTACACGTCTCTGTCATACTTCTAGTACGCGTGTATCACTGCTTCTTACAAGTCTCAGTCATACTTATAGTACGCGTGCATCACTGCTTCTTACACGTCTCTGTCATACTTCTAGTACGCGTGTATCACTGCTTCTTACACGTCCCAGTCATACTTATAGTACGCGTGCATCACTGCTTCTTACACGTCTCTGTCATACTTCTAGTACGCGTGTATCACTGCTTATTACACGTCTCAGTTATACTTATAGTACGCGTGTATCACTGCTTCTTACACGTCCCAGTCATACTTATAGTACGCGTGCATCACTGCTTCTTACACGTCTCTGTCATACTTCTAGTACGCGTGTATCACTGCTTCTTACACGTCCCAGTCATACTTATAGTACGCGTGCATCACTGCTTCTTACACGTCTCTGTCATACTTCTAGTACGCGTGTATCACTGCTTCTTACACGTCCCAGTCATACTTATAGTACGCGTGCATCACTGCTTCTTACACGTCTCTGTCATACTTCTAGTACGCGTGTATCACTGCTTATTACACGTCTCAGTTATACTTATAGTACGCGTGTATCACTGCTTCTTACACGTCTCAGTCGTACTTCTAGTACGCATGTATCACTGCTTCTTACACGTCTCAGTTGTACTTCTAGTACGCGTGTATCACTGCTTTTAACACGTCTCAGTCATACTTCTAGTACGCGTGTATCACTGCTTCTTACACGTCTCAGTCATACTTCTAGTACGCGTGCATCACTGCTTCGCAAGGTTTGATCGCGTATCATTGCTTCATGTCAAATACACGCTCGTTATCGTCACATTGGACTTGACGACTGTGATACATCTGACAGCACCTATTTAGTTTGGCTGCCAAACCTATTATTAATGTGTGCAATCAAAGGCGTATCGTTTGTTTATAAATCAGTTGTTTTTATTTTTAGTAAATGGGGAAGATTCGGAAGATGAGGGATTGAGCACTAATGCAGAGCTTGTATTATATTCAACTATCGCACTCGCGTCGTTAACGTTACTTAGTTTGTTTTTATGCATTTATATCGTCACGACGAGCAATAACACCAAATTTGCAAGAGATGACATGGAACAAGTAAATTAAGTATATGAGCCACAATATTCCAAATATGGCTGCTTGAAATCACTTAGTGTGCCATATATGGAACATTACCAAATATGGCTACTGGAAATCACTTAATGCGCCATATATGAAACCCCAACTACACGATGGTTACCAAAGAAACAAAGAAGAGTTGCCAAATGAAGGAACGAATGAAATATTTTACTTGTACAATCCATGTTCATATCAATGTCTATATTATTTGGTGATTATATTCATGAACGACTAGTAGTAAAACAAACTACATAGAAATAATTGTTTTACCACAAAAAACGGTAAAATTGTATATTCTGCAAAGCATGCTGAGAAATGGTGTGGTCTCTGCTGTCAATCATTTTGTTAGTGCAATACTTCCTAAATCTTTCTGTCAAAGTTTTCTTACAGTTTTGTGTTTGTCTCCAGTACTTTGCCCTTTGTCTATTCGAACCGAGTTGCTTAACTTTAAAAGTGTGAGCATTTTTATACCCATGTACTGAAAAAATAACCCGTAAACAATCACGTCTCTTTGTACCCACGCCACCCCTAACACTACCACTATCCCCAGCTCTCCCAATTTAATTGTATATGCCTTCTCTTATAACAACTATAGTTATCTAGGGAGCCATATACAATTTATTGGGAGGCTTGGGGTGCGAGTTAGAGATAGGATTAGGGGTGGGGATACAAAAGGAACTCTTTTCTTATGCAACTACAATAAAGTAGTCAATCGAACAACGCCTTTATTTTATGTTTAGTTGCATGCCCACGCGCGCAATGAGGAGCGCGAATGACGACGGTCCGAATGGGTCCTCTGTAAGAGGGCAATTTGTCAACAAGTGCCACGGCAATTTCTTTTCTTAACCCCATTTTATTATTTTTCACTTCGTTTTTGCATTAGCATTCGTATCGTATATGATTTAGCCCAA